CCCACCATCCACCCACCCCACCCACCGTCCATCCACCTGTCTACTCACCCACCCATCCATCCATCTACCACCTACACACCCACTATCCACCCATGTACGGTGTACTGAGAATTCTCTCCATACCAAACACCACACAGGGTTTGGAAACCCACTGTGATAAAAAGACAAACTCCTTCTTGTTAGGCGTTCACAGCCTCCTCCATGCAGAAAGACGAAAGAGCAGACAAAGTAATTAACGCGCAGGCATGATAATAAACAAGGCATGTAACTGGAGTCAACGAGTCGGCTAAGCTCTCGGGTTTTCAGCCAACAAGACAAGTGAAGACGAGTGAACAAGACATGTTTCTTGCAGGGCTTATATTCAAGTGAGCAAGACGCAAGGAAATAAACTCCGGAACGAGAAAAGAACATTATTTCCGATAGTGCTAAGTGCCACGAAGAAGGCGAAATCGGTCCGTGGGAAAGAGGATGTTTGGGGCAGGGGAGCTGCTGGGACGTCCCGCGCAGGGCAGCACACGCTGAGGGAGCATCACTCACAGCCCATGTGGGGCCCTGAGGAGCCTGCGGGGCTACGCTGGAAGCAAGGAGCCCCCCACCCCTGCAAAGGCAGCCTCGTATTCATCACCACTGAGTACGAAGGTGGGACAAGCACACGGCGTGTGCGTGAGTGATGGGATCAGGGGTGTCAGCTGGGGTACAGTGACCGGGGCTGTGCCTGGGGGCTCCAGAATTCCTGCCAGGCTAAGCACGTTACCTCCACTCTGACTACCAGGACATGTGCCCTGGCTGAGCGGCCTCTGTGGGACCCTCCACCAGCCAACAAGCAGGAGCTCTGGGCCCCAAAACAATATCTCCAAGAGTCGGGAGGTCCGGGGAGCCATGCTGGGCTCTGCACAGTGCGAGAGGCTCCCAGAAGAAGGCACCGCTGGGCCTGAGGGCATCAAGGATGGGGGCTGGCAGGGCCCAGTCAGGGCGGTGCTGGAGCCCCTCATGTCGGGGTGTCTGGGTGTTAATCTGGGCCTGGGCAGGACATTCCACATGCTTCTGCTGGCCCTGAGGACACCATGGCTTCCTGGGGCGTTAGAGCCATCTCAGACAGGGCTACCTGCGCAGGCAGCAGGCGGCTTCCAGGGGCCCAGATGGCAAGCCCTGCTCTCAACAGGCTGGGAATTAGGAAGTGGCACTGCGGGGTGGGAGGAGCTCTCCTGCTGCTGGGAGGTCGCTGGGAGGTCTCTGGGGGTCCACTGCAGCCTCTCAGCCAGGGAGGGGCTGGGGTCTGCCAAGGGCTGCTGAGAGGGGGAGAAACAGTGCAGAGGGAGCCGTGGTGCCCCCTGAGAAGCAAGCCAGGAGCCTGGGCACGGTGAAGGACACGCGGCCTCCTTGCCCAGTGTCCACTGCCTCTCAGCAAGAGCAGGTCCTCCGGTCAGCCCGACGCGCTCTCATCTCTGTCCTTCCTCCAAGGGGCTGGGGACCCGGCGTTGCTCACCTCTCGGAGCTGAGGCTCTCCGCCCGCAAGTGGGTTCCACCTTTCCTGTGGGGGCCCACCTGGCACACAGTGGGCATGTGGGAAATGCAGACCCTTCTCTCCCAGCGCTCTCATGGAAGCTCTGGAGGGAGAGGGGAGAGGATGAAGGGGAGGCACTGCGCTCCCAGGGACTGCAGAAGGGAGTTGAGGAGCCCTGATAAAGAGATTCTCCCCCCCACCCCCCCACCCCCGCCAACCTCCCATGTTCCCTGTGAAGGCAACTAACAGAGACACGAGAGCACAGCACCGTCAGAACCAAGGAGGCAGACGGAGGCAGGTGATCCAAGGAGAAGCCCAGCCTGTCTGCTTTCACCCCGGGAGCTGATGCGGGCCAGCACCGGCAGGAAACGCACTTCCCTACCCCCCCCCCCGAAACTGCCCCGAGGGGGGCCAGGGGTGTGGCAGGGCTCCAGGACAGCTGCCTTGGTCTGGGCACAATTCTGCTGCCTCGGCCCCCTCTTCGAGCCAGGCTTGAGCAATAAGCACTGCCAAGGGAATTTATCCCTTTTGAAAGGTCAGAGAAATACTGCACTGACAGGAAGGCTGGGAACAGGGGTCAATACACTCCAGCCCGCCTGACGTGGCTCAGGAGAGGGGACATGGGGGGACTTCGGTCAGGGCACTTAATTGCTCAGTGCCTGGATGCCTGGAAGGCTCTGGGGGGGGGGGGCAGAACCCATGACCTGATCGCCCCTCCTCCTGCTCCTGAGAAGCGCCCACCTGCGGCTTCCTGGGCCTCCCCATGCAGTCCTCCGGGCCTCACCCAGGGGCTGGGGCTGGAAGGCAGGGATGCAAAGTCAGTGAGTAAACAAGTCACCTTGCCTGCAGACGCCAGATCACCTGTCTTGCAATGTGCTCCTTACTCAGCCACAGGGGCGGTGAGTGGGAGCCACACCCCAACAGGAATTCCCGTCTCACAGGCAAGACCTCCCTGGCCGCGCGGGATGCTTGGGCTGTGCGGGCCCAGGAAAGCCAGGACCACCACAAGGTTTTTGGCAAAAGTCCATCACTGCACCTGTGTGGGAAATGCTGGGGGGTGGGGGGAGGGTGGGGGCATCCAGAGAAGCCTGCAGACATGGCAGGAGGGACCAGCTGCAGAGAGGCACACGCTGGGTTCAAACCCCAGCTCCGCCACCTCACACTGTGTGACCGAGGACCTGCTACCTCTCCTCCCTGGGCGTCTGCCGTCTGCCCCCACGGCAGCAAACGGGGGATGACGGGGCCATCTGCCCAGGTACCGTGCACACGGAGGCCAGAGCAGTGCCATCACAGGGCGCACAGCTGGGGCCTGATGAACCGTTGCTATCATTTGTCTTGTGGACTTCGTCAGCTGAGAGAGAGACTGGGAATCAAGCTGAGCCCACTAACCTATCGACGAGCCGCTCAGACAGCAACCTGGCGCCCACGAAGACACCCCAAAACCAGAGGTCAGGATGCCACAGCAGAGGATGGCGCCGAGGTCAGGGGCCCGCTGGAGGGAGTGGTCCCTGTACAGAAAGGCTCCTGCCTGCCCCCCTGTCGCAAGCGGGGAAGCCCACGGACAACTCTGCCCCCATGACTAAAGTGACATTGCGGTAAACAAGTGCTTGAGAGACACAGCGACAGGGTAACGCTAGACATGGTGTTTGATTATATACGACTTGTGTGAATAAAGCATATTGAAAGACACCGTTTACGGTCAGAGCTTTATTGGCAACATCTACCCTGAGGAAGCCCACCAAGGTGGTCTGCTTCCCCACTCGCAATACCCCCACCCCGCTCTCCGCTATGCCTGTGGTCCAGGGACAGAGCACAGAACAAAATGTGGGGCCAGAGACAACACCCCCAGCACAGCGCAGAGTGGTGGATGGAGCCAGCCTCCAGGATTCAAATCCCCGCGGACCCTGGGGAGGCCATGATGAGATTCGGTTGCTTCTTGTTGAAAGAAGAAACAGGCTGGTAGTTCTTCAAATAGTGAAACACAGAATCACCCTATGACCCAGCCTCTCCGCTTCTAGGTGTAAGCCCCAAAAGAACAGGAAACAGGTGTTGAGACAAATCCCTGGACACACATGTTTACAACAGCCAAGGGAAGTCACAGCCCGGGTCACCGATGGAAGGATGGATGCTCAGACGTGTTCGGTCAGACTGTGGAGTACTACTCAGCCATCAACAAGTACTAGCCACGCCACAGGCCAGGGGCACCATGCGCAAAGTGAAAGAAACATTCCCCAAGGAAATGTCCAGGGAAGGCCAGGGGCTCGGGGGGCGGGCGGGGGGGGGGCGGGAATGGGGCGAGACAGCTCACAGAGTTTCCTTTAGGGTGCTGAACCTGTTTCAGCACTAGACAGTATGAATCTACTAAATGCCACCAAATCATTCACCTGAAAATGGCTAAGTGTATGTTACGCAAACTTCACCTCAGTTATCTAAAAAGCAACGCAACTTCTCAAATCCTTGCACCCGTAACTGGCAGGCAGCTGGGGGAGGTGCACTCCAAGGACCGTGCCACAGGCAGAGGACAGGAACAGAGGAGCTCGGAGCACAGACGGGTCACCACCTACGTGACAGAAGCCACAGACAGCCTCCCGCCAAGCCTCCATGGGGCTACCCATCCTCGGTCCACTCAAGGCCAGCCTCACGCCTCTCCAACCCCATCATATAGGAAATTTACAAGTGTAATAAAAAGCTGCTGTCTTGACACTAATCTTAAAAAAAAAAAATTCTTACATATGTATTAATTCTCCTTCCCGAGTTTTAATTGAAGAGAGGATACAGCATCACGGGGGAAATAAAACTTCACTTGATCCATCCGAGGGCCATGTGGCTTCATTAGAAATTACATTAGTTCCTCATTAAGCAACAATAATAATGTAGAGTTAGAATCAATAAAAAAAAAATGCATTGCCCCAAGGTATAGATCCGTTTGGTTCAATTATATTCTTAGATGGCCAACCTCTGGTGGGGCCAACTAATAAAAATGGGGCGTGGTGACAGAAGGCAGGGGCTGCCTCCGTGAGGCCCCCAAATGGAATGATGAAATCAGGCAGAATTCCCAGCCTCAATACCGCTCTCATCATTCCTAATAAGAAGTCACATAAGCCCCCATCCAAATCCCCTGGCAAAACCAAATTCATTTCTAGAGCTTATCCATGAAAGGGGCCAGGTGGGTCTCATCTCTCCAGGCTGCCCAGATCAATTATTAGTGACTGTCATGGGTGAGGGTTGACCGCTCTGTGGTTGATTACAGATGTCTGCCTTGGGAGCAGGAGTGGAGTTCTGTTCCTGGTGGCAAGTATAAGGCAGTTGTGCCCAAGGAGTCCTCCAACTCCAACGGGAAGGGGAAGTTAAGAAAACCAAAGGCTATTGGCACTGCCTCACCCCCCATGTGGCCAGACTGGGTTTGCACAGAAACAGAGTACAAGAGATTTTTCCACTTCCTTCATTTCCACTAGATTTAACAAAATCCCTAAGTCAGGACAAAATGAGCACTTACCGGACCTTCGACCAGGCTGTAGGTCAGGGACAGTAGATCCTGCACAAGAAAATACAGAACAAGAAATGGTGAGTTTTGCTTTGAAAATGATTGCTCTTGCTTTGTTTTTTTCTCTTAGGCAAAATAACTACATTCCTAAGAAAATACATTTGATTTGTTCATTCTGAAAATGTTCACTGAGCACCCAACACATGCCAGGCACAAGAGGGCAAGTCCTTGCCAGGGAGTGGGAGGAAGCAAGTAAGAAGGTACTAAATCACTCATAAAGGAAGAAGATCTCAGCTAGCGATAAGTCAGGTAATGAGAACAACATTGTGGGGTGGAGAGTGAGGATACCAATTTAGATTGGGGGTCAGGGAAGGTTGAGAGCTGAAGGACAAGTAGAAGCCAGACAAATGTAGAGTGGGTATTTTCAGGATCCAAGTGGCAGGTGCAAAGGTCCTGGGGCAGGTACAAGTGAGTAGATTAGCAGGAAGGCCAGAGGGGCTGGTGGGACACCAGGGAAGCAGGCAGGGACCAAGGTCATGGTTGCCCTTGAAGGCCTTGGGTAACTTTTTCTATGCCGATTCCGGGAACACCAGATGCTCTAGGAATCTGTCTCCTCATGCACCTCCCTGCTTCCCTAGAGGCCATCACTACCCCCCATCCAGACCCACTTCCCACCTCAGCTAGGACTCCTGCTCATGTCTGGTCCCAACACGTCTCTGAGCTCCAGACCCATCAGACCATCCTCTCTCGCTCATTCCAAGACACATCAATTCCACACCCAATCTTCCTCGGGCCCCCTCTCATTCACCCCAGTGTTCAATCCCTGCTGGCCCACTGCAGCGTGAACTGCCACGCAATCTCTTCCCAGGTCGGGAGGGTGTTAATATTGACATGATAAGAGCTCCCCAAAGGCTTCTGGGCACAGCTCTTGAAAGTGATTTGGCTGAAAGCAAGGGGACGACAGGACAATTTGGAAACAACTACTCCTCGGAGGCTGTTCTGAGAGCCGCTCCCCTTGCTGTGCCTGGAAGTGGTTTTAAAGCCTTTTATGCATCCTCAGCCACTTGGATCCACTGATTCCCCCAACACAGAGCTGCCTTTTCTTTTTGTTCATTGAACAGATCAAAATCCAGTACGACCAAGCTCAATTGTAACTAACGGCAGACACAGGGCAATAAAAAGCAGCTGCTATAAAAATCTCCCTTCCAGTGCCCACCCAGATGCCCTGGCTCTGTGACTCCTGGAGAGGCAGCGTGTGGAGTTTACCTCTGGGGTTTACCTCTGGATGCCGGGGGTAAAACCACCGTGCCATATGGGTGATATTGGAAAGGCAGAGCGCCAACTGAATTCACAGCAATCCAAATCAATCTTCTTCCCCCATTGCTCTTTTCCAAATTATTAATGAAGAAGAAAGTTCCTACGACCTTCCAAACTCACTCCAGGAAACAAACTGACATGTGAATGGGACGCATTTGCTCTAAACACGTATAAACATACCTTTCTACGTCATCATACGTCACACAAACACACTTGTTTCCTTTTTAAAAGTGGATCGGAGCTATAGATATTGATTGGCACACTTGCTTTTCCTAAACTTATAAATAGCAAGCAAGTATCTTTATAATCCAGGTAGAACTAGGTACCTCAGCTTCAGCACTATTGAAAGTTTGTACCCAATCACTGTTGTGAGGACCATCCTATGCATCTTAGGGGGGTTCAGCAGCATCCTTGGCCTCTACCTACTAGAATCCAGAAGCACAAACCCCCCAAGCTGTGACAACCAAGGGCATCCCCTCCTGAGGGGACCCCACTGGGGAGCCTAATGTGGAGCCAGCAATTCCTTTTTAACAGCGGCGTAGGATTCCATACTCAAGAGACACCATGACTTACTGAACTATCCCCCTAGTTATCAACATTCAAAATCCATTTTCAATGCATCAGATGGACTGGCTGGTTAAAAGATATCACAGTGAGTCATATTACTTTATACTTTTCATAAAATTTAACTTATTCTGTATCTGGATTGTTTAAAACAGACAGGGCCTCTGTGTGCATCAGGCAGCTCCACGAATTCCTTTTATGCTTGTTTACATGACGTGGGTGTCGACAACATCCCCGTCGTGTCAGGAGGAGATGGCTGATCTTTAGTGCCTGTGATGGGGGGTGGCGAGGTGGCTGGTGCCCGTGGCGGGGGCTACATCTTGTGGGCGATCCCACAAAACAGATCGAGAGCCATGCACCCTGTCCAGCTTTTTCTTGTGCAGTAAAATGAGGTGTCTCGCCCCGGTCTGTACCTTCCCACTCCTTCCTGTGCCTTTAGGCTGCAGGAACTCGGGGAGGTTGGCTGGCTCTCAAAGATAAATGCCGGCCTCTTCTCGGAAAGACAATTAATGAGCTCAGAGACTGCTTAAACCGAGATGAAATGTGCGATTACCCGACGCGGGGCCATCCATCCACCCCGCCGACAGCCCCGCTCCCCCTCTCCGTGCCATTTCATTACACACCGAGGAAGCCCACCGCGTGCACCGTGGCGATCGGGTCTATTTTTGAGATAATTGCAAAGCTGGGGCTTGGATCCACTTACAGGCAAAAATATGGGACAGAGCAGGATTAAGGTGAACTCTACCCCTTCCTCTTGCTGAAAAAGTCCCAACGGGCTTTAAAGGGATGAGAAGCCCGCGCGAAGCTTTCATCAGCGCCCGGGTGGTTACTGCAGGAGCCGAGGGGCTCGAAGCGCTAATTCTGAACAGTGCCCGGTGCAATAATTCGGCACCCGTGCTCCCTGCTGGCCTGCTGTCTCCTCTCCCGCCCCCTCTGCCCTCGGTGTCTGGGTACATCGGTGCCTTACAGGATGGAGGGGCGGGGAGGAGGAGGAGGAGCGGAGGCAGGAGACAGCTCCCCCTGTCTGACTGAGCTCATGAATCTCAGGCCAGCGCCCTCTCTGAAGTGCCCATGTCACTCCTCCAGGCTCCACTCTCACCCCGGGACCCACCCCCAGTTGTGTAACCCGGAGCCTCGCTGGACCTCGCAGCTAAATCCCCTGGGGCGTCTCTCTTTTCCTCTCCAACCTCTGCAAGGCACGACTAGCTGCAAACCCAGGAGTGCCTGCAAATGGCCTGGCTGGCCTAAGCTTCCCAGCCCGCACCCTGGCAGGGTAAAGATGGGAAACGCACACCCCTGTCTTTGTTATCTGTTCTGTGAGCAGAACATCAACCTTGACGTCTGCGTGTGTTCCCCCTGCACGCCCCCCCCTACCTCCCCACCCAAGCAGGGACAGGAGCCCCTGGAGATGGCCCAGGCATGCCGGGCAGGTGATGCTCCAGGCGCCCGGATTAGACCTGGGATTAATCCTTGTGCTGCTTCTCCTTTGTGCCCTTCCTGCACTAAGACTTTTCATCAGTCAAAGGCTCCTCCTTGCCTCGGGGAGGATTAGGATTACTTTAGTAGGAGAGAGAAAGAAACCGCTTGGTCTTTCTGATATCCAAAGAAGGCTGCCAAGCCAATGCCTCCAGAACATTCTCTCCCTGGGAGGGGATCACAGCAGAGCCTGTTGACTGTCCTCAGTGCCGTCTGCGGAGCCCTCCCCCTACAGCAGCTGCACACAGGCCAGGGCGCATGGTGCAAGAGGGTCCCCACATGGGGCCCCGACGAGGCCTCTCTACAAACCCCCCTTTTCCAGCGGTACCCCTCCTTTCTCCAAGGAGATGCACAAGTACGGGGGTTGTCCTGATGTGGATGGGGCACCCCCTATTCTATGTAGTGGAAACATTTAAACGACTGCAAGAGGGTTTTCTCGCTGTTACTCCTGCTGCCTGGATCGGGATGGGTGCGGTCACCTCTCAGATCACCTCTCAGATCCCCGCGTCGACACAGGTCCTGCCAGGCCTGCTTCCCTCCCCAGCCGCTCTCACCGCCTGGTTCTCCCACACAAATGAAGACCGCGCTTGGCCTTGCACAGACAGATGGGCACATGCCCTCAGGCAGCTCCATGACTGGGGAAGACTCATCAACAGCCCCACAGCTGTGAGGAGGGGCGCAGGGACCATGCAGGTGTGGGAGGAAGCGTGTCAGCGGGGCTCCGGGAGAGCAGGTAGGGTTGGGCAGGCGAAAGGTTTCCTGGAGAGTGGCACCTGCGAAGACATGCAGTAGCGCCCCCTCAAAGATAAAGTCCTGGGGCCCACAACCTGTGAGTGTGACTTTGTTTGGGAAAAAGGCCTTTGCAGATGTGATCCCAATGAGATGCGGTGCCCTGCTGGATCAGGGTCGGCCGGAATCCAGAGGTCAGTGTCCTCAGAGGAGGAAGCAAGGGAGAGGGAGATGCAGAGGAGGCCCTGCACAGGGGGGGGGGGTCCTCCCTGAAAAGCCGGGTCACATCTGGCCTAGACCCAGTTCATGACCACATGAGGCCTCTGAGCTCTGGGGCACAGCAGATCATGTGACATTCCTCTCTAGCATGTGGGGACCCAGTCATCAGGAAAAGCTGCTGTTGACCAGAGTCTCACTGAGCAAGTCCCTAAGACTACAGGAAGTCCCCTCCAATACCACCCCTGTCCCAGCTCCTCAGAGACAGATATGAGACACACCACCTGGAAAGAGGGATTCATAGGATGGAAGCATCTCAGTGGAGAGGAAAAAGCATGAGAAGCATCTCAGTGGAGAGGAAAAAGCATGAGATATAAAAAGCCAGGTTTCCCTGGCCCTGCCTCTAGACTATGAAACCCGCAAGCATATGGCAGATATCTGCCTTGTTCTCCACTATATCCCAGACCTGCCCTTTCAGGTAATGTTCAGAAACTCAGTAAGAGCCAATAAGATGGATGGATCGATGGGTGAATAGATGGATGGATGGATGGATGGATGGATGGATGGATGGATGGATGGACGGATGGACGGATGGATGGACGGATGGGTGGGTGGATGGGTGGGTGGATGGGTGGATGGGTGTGTTGATGGATGGATGGGGGAGGTGGATGGATGGATGATAGATGGATGGCTAGACAGATGGACAGGTGGATGGGTGGATCGATAAGTATAGGTTCTATCATGTTCAC